TTAAAGCAAACAAAAAGCAATCCCTTAAAAAAAAAAAAAGCAAAAACTGAAGATAACTTTGTAATAAGCAACACGGAGAATTTTTTCTACTTTAAAACACAGCAATTTGACTAGTCTTTGAGGGATACAGCCTAAGGACACACACACAAAAAACCCACAAAAATATTTAACTACATTCAATAGTGTTATTAACACTGTACCCTTTTTAAGTGGGACATATCAGAACTTAAGATTTTTCTCTTCCTAAAAAAGGCTTATTTCCTAGCTATTTCCACTAAAAAGACCTAGAAGCAAAGACAACATGGTATCAATGAGCACTTCAAAATTCACTTTCCCACTAAAGAAATAAAGGTGTCTTGGAGAAATAACTGATTCCAGATTTTAAGCAGGAAAATTGCCAGTTAAGCCTGGGATATCTTGTGCTTGGAAGCAAAGTGATCAAAAACCTAGGATTCTTGTCAAAGAGACACAGGAGCCAACTTAAAGGGACTCCTATTATCTAAAGATAGTATAATTTTTGCATCTAAAAGCATGACTATAATGGAATGAAACACAAATATATTTTCAAAAACCCTGAGTTCAAAATGATACTTAAAAAAAAAAAAAATCTCTATTTTATATCCTCTAATGATATAATGGATCTAGGCAACCACAATCACTGGTTGCTAAAACCATTAAGTGAACCCACTAATTAATCTTAGCATTGCTATTTTATGACATTATATGATTTATAATATAAAAGTAGGAAATATACACAGCACTATATATTATTCTTGCCAAAACATCTGAACCTGAATCTAACGGAAGCCTCTAGACCCAGCTCCAGTCTTCAGGAAACACGGGTGCTAGGAGGACCCGTTAAATAAAACCATCGTGACGAATGAGCCAAATCTCTAAATGGGGAAAATTCTACAGAAAATGACAGTTTCTTCAATGAATAAAAGGTATTGGGAAAGGGGAATAGCTGGGGAAAATGTTAGATTAAGAGATTTAAGAACCTGTGAATATACCAAAACCACTAAACTGTATACTTTAAATCAGTAAGTTGAATCGTGTGTGAATCAAATCTCGATAAAGCTATTTAAAAAAAAATTTACGAAACCAACGTATCAACTAAAAGCAATGTGTAGACCTTGCTTAAATCCTGATTTCAACAAGCCAATCATATAAAGACATTTTTTAAGGCAATCTGGGAAAAATGAACTCCGTCTGCATACTCAACAATAATAAAAAATATCTGGTAATTTGGGGATTGGGGGTAATGAATGGTATTCGGGTTAAGTTTTCCAAAAATTTAATTTTCTGTCAAACATACATAAGGAAGTACATAATAAAACATTTGAGTGAAATGACATGATCTGCTTTAAAACACTCCAGGAAACAAAAATAAGAGTGCAGGAGAGGCGAATGAACAAGAACGACAGGACGCTGATAACCGTTGAGGCTCAGGGATGACACGTGGGGCTTCACAGAATTATCTCTGCTTTTAGGGATGCCTGAAAATTTCCTTATGAAAAGTACAAGTAACAGTGGCAAGGCACCTATCAGAGAGGTGTGGCTGGACCACTGTGGAGGGTCAGGAGGGCTGCTTGAAAATTTTTATAATAAAGCGTGTAAAAAAAGACCAATGACATTTGGAGAAAATACTTACAACGTATATATAAAATAAGAAGTTGTGTTGATAAAAAAGCACCTGTGTGTGTTGCTGATGGTGGGGAGAAGAAAGAGATTTTACTTTTTATTTTAAGCACTTTTGTTTTCTTTTCTTTTTTAAGAGGCAGCAAGTTGCTCTGTCATCCAAGCTGGAGTGCAGTGACACAATTATAGCTCACGGTAACCTTGAATTCCTGGGCTCACGTGATCCTCCTGCCTCTGCCTCTCGAGTACCTGGGAATACAGGTGCGTGGCACCACACTTGACTAATTTATTTATTTTAGAAACAGGGTC